GAATGTGCCTTACAAGACACCACTAACCGCATTTCCCTCCTGGCCATCCAAGTACTGCAGGCTCCTGCTTTAAAGGCGCAGGCCCCACTTGATGATAAGGCTTTGGGAGGCTGTAGAATCTTTAGGGGATGTGGCCAAGCCATCAGATCCACCAAGTCGCAAGGCTGGAGGGGTGCAGCAATAATCCATTGTGAGAGAGAATGGATGAACTCTGTATGGGGTATGACCTCAAGGAGACAAGCCACAGCTACTGAAATCCATAGCCCATATTCCCACATCATCTAGCACCTCTTCACCCTCAGCTCAACCTGCGGCTGGCTGCATGACGGGCTACTCCTTGAGCAATGGCTGACAAAGGAGGATGAAGCCTGAGCTTTATTGCCAGATGTCATCTGGGTATGTGAGGGAAAGTCAAAGATGAGAGGCTGCAACTGTGCAGCCCCACGCATGGTTGAAGATACCAGTGAGGGGGACCCCTCCCACTGGCAGAGTACCAGCCATTGTGTCTGATCATCCACTTTATATCGAAAGAGAAGTGGCCTAAAGACAGAATAGGTAGAGAGGTTCACCGGTAGTAGTAAGTGACTGGAAGTATCGGTCAATGGCCTGGAACAAAAGTGATAACACTGGGGCAGAGAAGCCTATGGGAGGGATGTGTGTATGGCAAAGCACACAAATCAAAGTAGAAGGAAATGACTTGGCCACATCATGCCAACTAGTTCTGCTGTGGCCATCTCCACACCGGAACACCGAGGTCGTGAACGAAGTGTGCTGGCAATGGTGGAGTTTTATCTGGGCACCAAGTCCACCACAGCTCCTGCCATCACTGTAAGAGCCCCAGGGCTGAGCCACTGGGTCGGTGTCATCCTGGAGCAAACCAACCAGTCTGTTTTTTTTGGTTTTTTTTTTTGGCAAATGGAATACCTTTCTGGGCCAAGCCTGGAGACTTGTTTTCATTGATGTTGTCATTGTCACAGGTTTGAGACAGGGTCTCATTCCGTATCTATCCCAGGCTGGAATAAAACTTACTACGGTAGCTCAGACTCATTTCAGGTTTGTGGCCTCAGTCTCACAAGTGCTGAAACTGCAGGTGTCAGTCACCATGCTCAGATGGACTCCTTTGATAAAATAATCTTTTGTTTGTTTTTTGAGACAGGGTTTCTCTATGTAGCTTTGGCTGTCCTGGACTCACTTTATAGACCAGGCTGACCTTGAACTCACAGAGATCTACCTGCCTCTGCCTCTGGGTTGCTGGGATTAAAGGTGTGCACCACCACTCAGCTTTCTCTCTCTCTCTCTTTCTTAAGATTGTATTTATCTTATGTATGAGTGCTCTATCTACATGCATGCCTGCATACCAGAAGAGGGCATCAGATTCCAGTGTAGATGGTTGTGAGCCACCATGCAGTTGCTGGGAATGGAACTCGGGACCCATGGAAGAGCAGACAATGCTCTTACCCACTTAGCCATCTCTCCTGCCCCTTGATAAAACACTTTATTTGGATCATCCTGGTTAGGGGTTTGACATTCTTTTGCACAGTTCCTCAGCTAGACCTGCCATCTAAGAATTCCTATACCATCTGACCCATCACCATTGTATCTTACGTGGCATCACAGCCAGACACACTACCAAAAAAAGGCCTGCCAATGGACAGATGAGCATAGTTTCCGTTGGTCCCATCATAAGACATATCATTTTGGAGCGGCTGGCCTGACGGAGTAAGAAAACATCCTCTGCTCCTCACCACCAAATCCCCATCAAGGAACACTGCAGAAGAGTGGGGCGGGAAGAATGCGAGGGCTGGAGGATGGCAAAGAGAGCTGTGAAATGCTGTCTTCTGGAACAGCATGACTGATGTGCACTCCACCTCAAAGCAGCCATGGTTACCTTCCTAAGAGCCGCACAAGATCAAGACAGCCAAAATCCCAACATGGACTGGGAGGATTCCAGAGACCCCCACTCCTAACTCAGTGACCCTAATGACTGCTAAGAAAGGAAGAACCACTTTTTAGGGGTGTGGCTGCTGGCAGGCTGGCCTTCCCCCAGTGCCTTACACTCATTCACACCTATCCTTACTCACACATGATTAAGACTCATTGGATTCAGAAGAATGATAATAATAATAACAATTATAATACATGAAGCATTATACAATATACAATATACAATTATAATACAACAAGCAGGCTGGTAGGCCCCAGAGGGACTTGGGGGAGGCAGTAGGGGTGGATAAAATCAAAACACATTATATACATGATCAAAATTTTCAAAGACAAAATAATTTTTTTAAAGAAAACTTCCGGTTAGGGAGATAGCTCGGAGGCTAAGAGCACTTGATGCTCATGTAGAAAACCTGAGTTCAGTTCCCAGGACCCACACAGCAGCTAACAACAGTCTGTAACTCCAGTTTCGAGGACCTGATGTTCTGTTCCGGCTTCCTCGGGTACTGCACACCCGAGGAAGGCACACACATGCCTGCCGACAACACACTCGGACACATAAAATCAATCTTTTTTTTTTTTTTTTTTTTAAGAAGGGGATCAATCAAGATCCTGAAAAGGCATCTTGAGGATGAGGTGAAGCAGGGGAGTGGAGCAGTGCCGCAGTGAACTACGCAGATCTGCTACGAGCCGGCTTCAGGACCCCTCACACCCCAGCTGATAGGATTGCTGTCCCCTGAGAGTCACAAACAACCAGGCCACAGGTCTCATGCTCAGGAGAACCTGCTGCTCACACAACCCTCCCAGGAACAGTTTATATCCAAGTACTGGGTAACGTGATGCCGTTCGCCTTAATTCAAGAAAACACTGTGCTCCTCACGGGGAGGACACCAAGGCGCTGTCTGAGCTGCTGCTTCTCTGAAGTTGACCTTCTCTGTCGGCCACTTGGCTTCCCTCCCTCCCTTGCAGGTGTCCTCCATTCCCGTGAGCCACCTGCACACCGATCTCCACCTCAAGGTTCGTTTCCCAGAGAACTCAAAGGATGACCTTACGCATTCTGAGATGTGAAGATAAGCCCAGAGTGAAAGGGGTCGGTTGACGCGGCTCCGCCCCTCGAGGAAAAGGGTGGTGTGAGAGGGGTATGAGGTTCTTGTTACATAGCCCTCCCGCTCGCTTCATTGTTTATAATATGCACATGGATTACTTTCACACTTGATCTCAGCCAACAGAAGAAATGAGGCATCGCTTCTGTAATTAAACTTTTTCCATCTAAGAATGCTAAAGAATGGTGTTGGTGAGATGGCTCAGTGGAAAAAGAAACTTGACACCAAGCCTCATAACGTCAGCGCAATCCCCCAGGACCCAAGGAACATTGCGGAAACGAGGCCCGAGGCCCGGTGGAAAGAACGTAAGAGCCAGCAGGGAGGGAGTCAGTGAAATGCTGACTCTGGACATGGCCTGGCCTCTGCCCTCAGGAGCTCACTGCAGCTACAGTTATCTGCACAAATCAACACCAACAAGACCAGACAACATTTCAGCAGGCAGCGTTAATTAGACTCAGTGGGTTACAGGGGGGGAAATTAAGGGATAGAGCTGTATTGGGGGTGCCTGAGGGGACTGTAAGGAAGAAATTGAGGTGACTTGATCAAGATACAGAGTATACATGTATGAGATTGTCAAAGAGTAAGTAAAAGGTAGTTAAAAAAAAAAAAAAAAGGAGAGAACGGGAGCCAGACAGTGAGATAGCAAGGCAGGGAGGAGATCCTGACTTAAAATTAAGTTAGAGAGGGATTGAAAAAGAGAACTTAGTATCAACGTTTGGCCTCCACAAGCACCACACATGTCCACACACTCAAACTCCATGCACACATGAAAAGCAATTTTAAAGACTCCAACACCATCATTTATCTGGGGGTGGGGGGAAGAGAAAAGTTGTAACAGTAGGGAAACAAGGAGAAGGGTTGTGAGATGCTGTCTTCTGGGCCTGGCACAGCCCATGTAGTCATGACCTCATATAAATGAATATATACAAAGTATATATATATATATATATATATATATATATATATATATATATATATGAAGGATATATGGTATATATATATATATATGCTTAAAGGATAGATAGATAGATAGATAGATAGATAGATAGATAGATAATAGATAGACAGACATACAGATAGGTAGATAGATAGATATTCAGAGAGATATCTCAACAGATAAAGTTGCTTGTGGCAAAAACCTAGAGACCTGAATTGAAACCCGGGACTCACATGCTGGGAAGAGTCGCTCAGGTTGCCCTTTGACTTCCACACACACTGCGGAATGTGTATTCCCACACACATGCACATACAATAAGTAAATAAATAAATAAATAATGTAAAAGTTTTTAATAAAAAATAAATGTAGAAAGACTTGCTGAGAAAGAAAAATTAATAATCAGAAGGTGTTATGCATGTATGAAATCATCAAAGAACAGAGTCAATAAAAGTTTTTTCAAAGACAAAGATGATTGCTTAAAAGCACTTTTGCTAGATTGTAAACAATCATGGTAACAGCTGCCCTAGTGTGTTTATGAGTAAGGCCCTTAGCATACTGTAGGGGCATAGGAGTGCTGTGTAGGTGTCTCAGTGTTCAGGACCTGCCTATACGTGCTATGAAAGGCCAGGACGAGCTATATAACAAAATTCTGTCTCAAAGAAAGAAAGAAAGAAAACCAAGTCCTCGCAGATCTTGTTAATGAGCTGACTCCATCCTGCTGCTCAAAGCCAAGAGCACTGTAAAAGAAGGTACGGAGTGTTTCAGCGTCTTCCTGCCTCATGGCTTCCAGCGGGTTTCAAAGTCCCCTGCCTTAGCGGTTATGCCTACGAAGGAGCCCTCCCTCAGAGTCGAGGTGCTTTGCACAGGACACAGGTAGGTGTCCTTCACAGCACTCTCAGGACTTGCCAGAGCCCTCGTCTTTATGGCAAGGCTGTGAGGCCCAGGTTTCCTCAGTTAACGGAGGCTTCTGCCTTGAATATTTCCAAGTGACGTGGAGTAGGCGGGGCCCAAAGGCCCCTCTACACTTCCTGTGTGGGGTTCAGACACCTGCCTCCCCTGCCTGCTTCTGGTGCCTTCTTCAGAAATGGTGAGTCTCTCCTTGTAAAACGAACACCCTCCTCCCGCCCCGGAGCCCCATCCTATTATTGCAAACAATGATCCAGAGCCTTTACTTGGAGCCAATATGTTGAAAACTTCATCTGGCTTCCTTTCCAGAAGTAATGAGCTGGCTCTGTCCGCCATCTTAGTGGAGAGAGCATTCTGAGAGGATGCAGTGGAACGCTTTCTGGAGAGTTCTGGGCCTCGGCCTCCTAGCAAGTGAGTAGGGGGGAATGGAAAGGGTGGTGCTTTCCCAGGCTGGCCTGATGCAGCTGGTGCCTCACTGACTAGATGATTCAAGGAACTGTTGGTGATGCCGTGAGGGAGGGGGAAACGAGGGCTGGAGACAACAAAGAAATGTGGCCCAGGTGCCGGGGAGACAGTTCAGGAGACAGGCAGAGGAAACCAGTTGGGTTGATCACATCAACTGAGAGAAGAGATCTGTCTGTCTGTCATCTGTCAGTCATCGATAATGAACCCATCCGTCAGTAAACTTAGCAGCGCAAAGAACTAACACAAAGGGAATGAGGAGAGGTAGCGCCTGCCTTTTGAAAGTGACCAAGAGATTCCAACTGGTTTAGTCCTTTTCCTGAAGCAAGGTAGACTATAAACTGATAAATAGCTGAGAGCACATGTATGAGATAACGCCCATGCATGCACACACACGTGCCATTTGCTAACTATATGCGCTGCATATATGGGTTAACCAATTTGATTCCGACTTCTTGCACGGAAGAAAGATGGTGCAGCCCCTGTCTTACAAGTGAAGTTGTCACTGCAGGATTGAACAGTTATTCAGTGTTAAACAGTCAGTAAGTCTGGCAGTTGATCTGGGAAAGCAGGGATGTCTGTCTACGAGGCCTGTGCTCAGGAAGGAGGGTTGTATGCACCTTGTGAGCCAAACGGCTTATGAGAGCTTTATGTCAGAGACCTAGAAAATACTGTATTGCCACAGCTGGGCTCCCCACTCAGAGCCACAGCCGCTGTACCTCCATTTCCTGCTTCACCCTGGTTTTCTCAAGCTCAAATATACACACACCTTCACTGGGGGTCCTGGTGAGCTGGCTTGTGAGTGTCAGAGGCTCCAATGCAGTCTGGGTTGGGTTCAACGTTCTTCTGCCTTAGCCCTGAGAGGGCTGGAATTCCAAGCTTGTGCCATCAGCTCCTTCAATATTCCATTTTTCTAGCACACCTTTGGGTATTAATCTGTATCTGGTCCGTGGAACACACTTTAAGTCTCAAAGGGCAGAATATGACGCCTGCAAAGATTAGCTAGGCTTTTTCTCAGAGGTCTCTGGGATAAATTGTACTCTCCCTTAAATTAAGTAAATAAATAAATGAAAAAAGGAAAGAGAATTGCTTATGAGATGGTTTAGTGGGTGAAGGCACCTCCCACCAAGGCTGACAGTCTAGGCTCCATCCCCAGGTCCTACGTGTGAAAGGAGGGAAGAAGTTCCTGCAAGTTGCCCTCTGACCTCCAGCATGTGCTGTAACACACATGCGCCCACATACATACATACACACAAAATAAGCAAATGTAAGCAAGTATAATAAAGGGAAGGATAAAAAGGGAAGAGGAAGGTAGGAGAATGTTGAAGGCTTAAGCACTGTAGAAATGTGCCTTGTCTCCTCTGGGGATGGGAACACCTCGCCCTGTACAGAGGCTGTTTGTAAACCAAACACTCAGGCAGTGCAGGGAAAACTGGTCATTGTGACAGACCCAAGTCAGTGTCAACTGAGGGTACCCAAGAGAGCCCGGATGTACGGCCCTAGTTGATGAGTAGTCAGGGTTTCGAGTATTCCCACTTTTGTCTCAAGCAGAAAACAAGTGGAAAATTTGAGTTCTCAGGTCATGACAGACAGAACAAGAAAGAATCCTAACCCGTGTACCCGCCAAGGGCTTGTTTTCCTTCTGAAGTCAGAGAGCAGTTCTCAAAATGGAGGTTCTGCTGTAAAGCTCACTTCCCCTTTCTTGAGCCACCCAGAGAGGAGCCTCAGCTTGCTTAACTGATGTTTGTTAGACACGGTGCACTCATGTTTGATGCTAGATGTTTCTTCGTTCAGCTTCCTCCTGAGGTGGCTGGGAACCCCTGCCTGATGCCCTGCAGTAAACATCCTTTACTGCAGTATAGGAACTACCATTATCTGATGGTGGGCGAAAAGGATTTTAGATGCCAGTGATAGTCAGACAGGAGCACGACTCTTTTTGTTTGGAATTTCAGGCATTCACAGGATTCACTAACCTATGTTTCTATCATTTGTTTTCCAGTTGGCACTTGTCAGGACGGTAAGAGATGATTTCTTCCTTTGCTATGAAAGGCACGCCAGTATTCTTGATTCAGCCATCACACCAAATAGCAATCTTCCATGACTGATGGATGTTACATACAACAGCAGTCCCATACGGTTATAATGGAGCTGGAACACTCCCATGCTGTGGTATTTCACTGTATCTTTTCTGTGTGTACAGACACAGATACTTGCCATTGTGTTGTGCCTGCCTGTTGAGTATAAGCACATGCTGCAGAGGTTTGTAGGCTAGGCAGAACACTCTACACTATATAGTCTGGGTGAGCAGTGGGCTCTGCTATCTAGGTTTGTATACATGTCTGCTGTGACAGTCATTCAGAGACCAAATCACCTAAGAATGCATTTCTCAGAACTGACTGTATTCGGAGCGCAGTTTTGGCAAGCTTCCCTTAGAGATGCCACAGACAGCAGTGAAAGAGATTTTTCTTCTTCTCCTTTGCCTTATAGAAGTACCCCACTTTAGAGAACCAAGAGATTGCAGAAAATGTTATGTCTGAACAGTTTAAAGCTGTTAAAAATGTTAAAGACGAGCTGGGAAGGTGACTTCAGTTGGTAAAGTGTTTGCCTGACAAGAATGAGCACTTGATTCGAGTCCCAAAAGCCTCATAAAAAAAAAAAAAGTCAGGCATATCCAAGCACTGGGAAGGCAGAGACAAGAAGATGTGTGGGGCTTACTAGCCAACCAGTCTAGCCTAGTCATTAAACTCCAGGTTCAGCAAGACACCTTGTCTCAAAAGCAAGATGGAGAGCTATTGCAGAAGGTACCCAATGTCTATCTCTTCTCAGACACACACACATACACACACACACACACACACACATACACACACACGTACTTACACACACAGGAACACTTAATATACACATATCCACAAAAAGTTAAAAGTGTCAATGGTTTTCATTTTTCTACTTCCCTGTTTGATAAAGGATGTGAGGTTGGCCAGAATGTATGCATAGGGCGACTTTGGTTAAGCTTTAGGGTGGCATTTGGGTGCACATTCATAATCACGTGCTCACATAGTCTGAATGTGGGTGACTGCGTGTGCACTAGGCTGAACTTTACTTTTTCAAGTAGGGCAGTAGAGTCAAGATTGTCCCAAACCTGGAGGCCTCTCTGCTTATTCAGCACCTCCAAAATGAGAGAAGCAACATTGTGTTCAAAAGCAACAACTGTGCCTGGCTCCTTCCCCTTCCCCTTATGACTGGTGTCCACGGCAGCCATTTTATACATAGCCAATAGATAGAGAATATAGAATGTAAGACTCCGAGCAGCTTGTCATAGACAGCCAAGGAAACTTCAAGACCCTTTGCCCTCTTAAGATTGAGGGAAGGGTCCTGACCCACGGGAGCAGGATGGGACTTAGACACGAAGAAGAATATTACTGATGGCTTCCTATTGCTTCCCTTTCAGATGCCGAGGACCTCGGTAAGAGAATTCCTGCTACATGGCCCCTCTCAGATGTGGAACAAACCAATCAGAGGACAGCCACAGCAGTAACAGTGGGAACCAGGGCTAGTAGAGGGAGACTGCGGTCATCTGTCTGAGACGTTTCTGGTTGTGTTGCTAGCTTCCATGTCTGGTTAGAGCTATGCTTGTATGCTTCCCCGAGCAGACTGTTAGGAAAAGGCTCACAGATGGGTGGGGTCAGACCCTCTACTTGTTTCCTTGAAGGCCAAGACAGCGTTTCATTTGCCTGCCCTTGATGCCCAGCCTGTAGTACATGCTCTCTGAAGTGTTTGAGTGAATAAATGAACAGAATAGTAATATTTTGCTAGTTCTTTCTCCTCAAGAAGGTGACTGTCTTGTAAGACACACAAATATTTGATGCTACAAATTTGCTGCATGCAAGGGGTAGGTGCAGAGAAAAAAAATGAAGTATGAAAAGAATGGCAAACTGAGGCAGGCAGAATGGTAGCTGAGGCAGGCTACAAGGGGGAAGTGGTTCTTGAGCTGAGTCTTAAAAAGGTCGTGCTTGCACTTTAGGGACAAAGGATACTTGAGGCAGAGGAGACAGATCTAAGCCTGAGGCTTGACTGTCATGTTTGAATCCTGATTCAGTTTCCTACTTGTTGGGTGATAATGGATAACTTGCTTAATATCTGTGCCATGTGACCATCGTGTATAAAATGGAAACAACCTGTAGCATTGTTGGGAGGACTTAATGATTGATTCACCTAAAACTCTCACAACAGTGCCTGTCAGATAGAAGTCAGCAGGTGGCATTTAGCTATTTCATAGGAATTTGTTGATTATAGAGAATAAACATGGGGTAGGTTGAGAAAGGTAAGTTCTGCAGGTAAGATCGCTTGCTGCTCTTTCAGAGAGCCAAAGTTCAGCTCCCAGCACCTCTTTCCAGGGAATCCAGCATCCCCTTCTGGCCTCTGTGAGCACCACACACATATGTGCATACTAACAAACAAACACACGCATAAAATTCCTTTAATTTTCTAAAGTTACTTATTTTATGTGCATTTGTATTTTGTCTGCATGTATGTCTGTGTTAGGATGTTGGATCTTGAAGTTATAGACAGTTGTAAGCTGCCACGTGGGTACAGGGAATTGACCCCAGGTCCTCTGAAAGAGCAGCCAGTGCTCTTAACTGCTGAGCCATCTCTCCAGCCCCTCTTTTAAATCTTTTTAAAAGAGATTAAGTGAGCGGGGCACTGTGGCACACATCTGTAGTCCCAGCACTCAGAGAGACAGAGGCAGATGGATCTCTGTGAGTTCAAGGCCAGCCTGTTCTATAAAGCAAGTCCAGAACATCCAAGGCTACACAGATAAACCCAGTAGAGAGAGAAACAGAGAGAGAGAGAGAGAGAGATATTAAATGAATGTGGTGGTAGTACATGCCTTTAATCCCAGCACATTGTAAGCAGAAGCTGAGGCAAATGGAACTCTGTGAATTAGAGGCCAGCCTAGTGTACATAGCAAGTTTCAGGTCAGCCAAGATTACATAGGAAACCTCTGTTTCACAGAGAGAGGGAGTGAAGAACTATATCTTGGACGCTAAGCATGGTCAGACCTGGTTAATACTTAAATAGAAAATAAGTGTTAAAGTTTGTTGAGCATCTATGTTCGAGCTATTGCCCTAAACAAGCGAGGAAAGGCTTAGAAATAAGTAGTCCAGTCAATGAGGGATAAACAATTTATAGGAAGTTCAATTTCTTAATCATTGTGAAATGCCATGGTGTGTAAAAATGGATGTGTACAAACTCTTTATGAACACATCTGTTTCTAAGCATGGACATGCTGTCCTTGTACGAGCATGTGTAAAACAGCACTCTTGACATTGAATTAAACCAATAAGGTTGTAAGCAATTTTTTTGCATGCTTTTAAACAAACCTCTTAAACACAACATAATGTCTACTTTTTTACTCTATCTTATTTATGATTTCTGATTCACATAAACTTTCCAGAAAACATCAATGGTAAAAAGTATTAGGTCAAAGTAATCCTCTATCATCATTGCATCCAGCTCCCAGCTGGTGGCCAGTACAGAGGATCTGTGTGGGAAGCCCCAGCCAGCTGGCTGTTGAGTGGCTGGGTCAGATCTCAGCTCTGTTTTCCATGGTAGCAGGATCCCAGGAAGGAAGTGAGGAAAACAAGCAGCATTTTTTTTTTCTTTTTTGGAGCATCCGCAATGTGTGTCCACTTTCACCTTCAGGATTCCTTTGATGCTCTCCAATACCTCTGAGGTGGTTATTTTATCTCCATCTTCCTCGTGAGGAGACTTGAGGCCAGGAGCCGTGGTGCACGCTTTTAATCCCGTGGGTCGGGAAGGTTGAATGGGAGGCCAGAGCAGGTGACATAGCAAGGCTCTGTCTTAAACAATAAAAGACTTTTTAAAAAGAAACAAACAAACTGAGGTTGATCTTGATTACCAACAGCTTCATTAGTTTTAAGGGAAAGAAATGAGAGGCTAAGGGTGTGGCTCAGTCAGCAGAGTGCCTGCCTGACATGCATGAAGCCCTGGGTTCAATTCCCAGCACCACGTTAACTGGGCATGGTGCTGTGCACCTGGGGTCTCAGAGCTCAGGAGTTAGAGGCAGGAGGATCAGAAGTTGAAGGATCATCCTCAGCTTCATAACAAATTTGAGAGCAGCCTTGACTCCATGAGACCTTGTCTCAAAAAAAAAAAAAAAATATGAGAAATCTACAGGCCTAAGAATCAGTAATTCAAATACATGAAGGGTTTCATTTCTAAGGCCCTGTGACAGCTATCTAGAAGATGATTCTGGCTGAATCAGGAGAAGAGCCCTAGACTGTTCTGTTGTATGACTCTAACACTCTAGTTTTCACAGTTCTGGCTTGTGAGCACATAACCCTGTATTTTAAATTTGAAGTGTCTGGATTATGCATAAGCACATCTTGGGGGCTGAATCCAGATCTCACCTCTAAGGCTTACAATTCTTAGGGTGTTGATATCTACTCCCTCTAGAAAATGTTTACTCAAGCTGAAGTGTAAACTGGGATTATTTTCTTACTAGTCTTTCCTTTTTTTTTTTTTTCTTATTTGCAGATAACGGGGCACAGAAACATGAGTTTACAATGCTTTATTTTTATTTATGCCATGTCAGAAGATACAGACTGATGGGTGGAGAAGGGGAAGCAGATTGAGAGAGAGTAGCCCCAAGAACTGAAAACCACCTTTTACATTTCCCAACATCTATTTTAGAAAGATTTCAAATAAGGACTCTTCTTTACTTCCACCCTCCCCTTCCCATAGTCCTATGCTACTGCCTATTCTCTAAAGCCACCTTCCAAAGATTCTCTGCCTCTCCATCTATACACATCGCCTCTCCCAGTTTCTCTGGTCAGTACAACTGCCTCTGCCAAGCAAAAGCTCAATGTCCAGTGATGAGTAATTTCCTGGATCTCATTGCTTCTTGTAGCACTCATTTGTCATCTGTAAAAATTTCCTGGATTTTTCCTTCCAACCTCCTTCCCTTTTCTCCTTTTCCTCAGAATACCAAGTGTCCATCTCAGGAACCACGGTAGAATTGACGTGCCCTCTAGAGAGTGATGACACCATAAAATGGGAAAAAAATGACAAAGTACTGACTGGTGAGACCGATAAGCAATTGGTGATAGAGGGATTTTCAGAAGTCGAGAACAGTGGCTACTACGTCTGCTACTCAGATGAGAAACAGAAGAACCAGTACCTCTACCTGAAAGCCAGAGGTAACTCAGGCTCCTCCCAAAACAGCTTTGTCAAGAACCCCCCAAGCCAGCCACCGTGCCTATCACTTCAAACCTCCTGCACTCCACCCTAGGCCCCCCTAGGGCCACACAGTAACAGTATTTTCTGGAAAGTAGATTAAACGGTGGCCTGGAGTTATTTGGGTAACTTCCGTTGGTGCCAGGTATCAAATAGCACCCTCCTCCAGAGGCAGGCTCGGGTCACTTGGCTTGTAACATACCCGGACTCAAGGTTTATCAGCATGAGTTTATGTGGTCACTCATTCAGAGACACATTTCATTAGAAGGGCTTGCAGAGAGACCCAATGCCGCTTCCTAAAAGTCCCAAACTTTTGTCAAACTCTTGTTACAATAGACAGTAAGAGCTGCATTTATCGAGTATTGTATTTGTCTTTGGTTTTTGGTTTGGTTCTGGGTTTTGGTGTTGGTTTTTTTTTTTTTTTTTTTTTTTGCGACAGGGTTTCTCTGTGTAGCCCTGGCTGTCCTGGAACTCACTAGGTAGACCAGGCTGGCCTCAAACTCTCAGAGATCTGGCTCTGGAGTGCTGGGATAAAAGGCATGCACCACCACTGCCAGGCTAAGTATGATATCTGTAATCCCTACACATGCCTCAGCTATCTAAGGGCCTGTGGCACCCTATACCACCCACAAGGCCCATACCATGGGATCCTTTCCTGCCATCCTCACATCAGCCATATAGGTTAAGCATATTTTTTATTCCCATTTTGTTGATGAGAAAACAGGCTTTGTGGAACTGAAAACCCCCACAACTAGTGAGTAATGGAGCTGAGACTTCAGAGTCTCTGGCCATAATCACCCATACTGTTTCTTATTGTCATTTTCACTGGACACTATTGCAGGGCAGGGCTCTGGTGCTGGCCGGCACGCAGGTGTCGAAGGAAGTCTTGTCTTCAGTTGTTTCTACCTCTTCTTCCACGTCCTGCTATATTCCTTTTTGCGTCACTTCTCTCCTTCCTCCACCCCTGTGCCCTGCAGTGTGTGAGGATTGTGTGGAGATGGACTCGACAACATTAGCCATAATCATCATCATTGACGTCTGCTTTACTCTGGGCTTGCTGATGGTCGTTTATTACTGGAGCAAGAATAGGAAAGCCAAGGCCAAGCCTGTGACTCGAGGAACCGGTGCTGGTGGCAGGTCCAGAGGTAAAACCATTGAGCTGGGTCAAGGGACATTTGCCTGGGCCAGGATGGGCAGCAAGTCTACAGCAGATTCCAAACAGCTTTTTTAGCACCATCTCTATGATACCAAGATCCCTACAGAGGGCTTCCCAGTCAAGACCATTCCTCTCCTTCCACCCTAAAAAAAAAAAAAAAAATGCTGAAGAGCAACATGGACCAACCACTGCAGTGGGCTTCTTCAAATGCCTAGAGCACTCTGCAATAAGAAGATTCCTCACATTATGGGCAGAGAGATCTCAGGATCTTAGTTCCTATCTCTTCCTCTTTCTGGGTGGGAACAGTCACAAATGATGAGAGCAGTGTGGGAGGCCTTAGGGATGGGGTGAAGGAAATAAAAGGAAGGGTAGCTGGGTGGGGAAAAAGATTAGAAGAAAGAACAGGGAGGATTGCCTTCCCTTGGGTTGGCTCTTCTAGTAGCCATCTTTATTTCAAGACCTGTTCAGCATGGAAACAATACTCTCCCCTCCCCCCGTCCTCTGCAGGGCAAAACAAGGAGCGGCCACCACCTGTTCCCAACCCAGACTATGAGGTAATGGGATATGGTGGGTGGAAAGTTGGAGGGGACTCCTTCTAGAGAGACCAGCTGAGACTGTTCATCTTAGCTGCCAGATGCTTCGAGCTGCTCGCCCAGGGCTCCCAGGACAGGCTCCCCGTGTGCATGCCTCCTCTGCCTTCTTCATGTTATAATGGAACCATCTCAAAGGCTGTTTGGCTTCCATAGCCATGTAGAGGCAGGGGGCTAGAGGAAGGAAGGCACACCTCTTCCTGTCACTTGTTTGGGCTGAGATTCAGCCACAGAGGATACCACCTATGCAAATGTTAACCAGATAGGTGAGGAAAAGAATGGTGTTCCACCAGCATGCCCCAGGACAGTCAGCCAGTCACTACAATAGGATACTGACTGATTAATAATAGCCCCTAGTTTCCCTCCCTCACATGCACTCACACAGGCACATGCAAAAAAAATACAGTCAGGCACCAAAGCCCCTGTCCCACCAGGCTGTCGTTCGATTTGGCAGTTGAAGAGTTAATGCCTGGCTTCACGTCCTTCCCTTACTGTGACTGTGCACTGGCAATTGTTAAAGATTGTTAAAGATTGTCTTTATCACACTGGATAAATTGAATGGATAAAGCTGGAGCTCCAAGAGTGGGGTCCTTAACGACCTATCAGTAACTCCAGTGAACCTTGACAAAAGGCCTAAAGGCGAGTCTTCACAGTCTCCCTGGCTGAGTTAGGGAAGCAGAGACTTCCATAAGGAGGCAGGGGGCTCAAGTCTGTGTCAAGTTCAACTGGGCTCCTCCTGACTCCAAGCCCAGAGCTCTGGTCTTGCCTTGCAGCCAACGCTCCAGTGCCTTTCTTTCTTCATATCTCCTTCCTCCTACCCTCCTAACCACCCTTCCTATTTCACCCTCAGCCCATCCGCAAAGGCCAGCGGGACCTGTATTCTGGCCTGAATCAGAGAGCAGTCTGACAGATGTGAGGGACACTGCCTTCCATGGACCCAGATCCATCCCGCTGAGTGCCTTGCTATTCCTCATCTCTGGACAAATTGCAGACTCCACAGCATTGCCTCTGGCCTCCTCTCCCACTTCCTCTGCTGGTAGCCAGTACTAGGACGATTGCTGTCCCAGTATCTTTGAAACATCATGGCTGGTCAGTTCTTCGGCCAGTCATCTTGTCAGAATACATTTTTTAGCCACTCATTCCCTGATAGCTCCTCCCTTCTACACTGATGTTATCTCTGCCTTCAGTCCCCTCCTTTTCCTGCATATAAATTGGCCCTCATCCCAAGCCCTTTCCTACAGCTTTCTGTTTTTCTAACTTTGTGTTTACACCCTTCGTGGGGGATGGGCTCAGTGATCCCTGGCAGAGGTCCTGCCGAATTCATAGATCCTGGCCTAGCCCTTGCCATAGGACCCTCTCCATGGTTCACCTTAGGTCCTTGGATGGTCACCTGCATCTCCATGAATATACCAGGCTCTTCTCTGCTAATGCAAAAGCAATAAAGTGTATTTGGCTGAAAATTTTACTGTCTCTTTTTTTCTAGAAGGTCCTTAGAAGCAGCCTGTGTCCTAAGGCAATTCCAACTCTCCTCAGGAACTCAATGTTGTACTTGCCTGTTACAGGAGGCAGGCACTAGCAGCCCTCCACACGCATCAAATCATTAAAGTTGTCAACAGTGATGGATGGGTCCTTGATAGAGTGACCGGTCCATAAAATGAATGAGACCGAAAAGACAAGAATGTGTGGAAGGAGTTGGGGCTTAGGTGCTGGTTTCCATCAGCCACCAGGAAACGCTGCTGAGCAGAACCCAGGGAAGTGGAAAAAAGCCTCACTGTGCGGTTCCCTCCTGTCCTGAGCCAGCTGCCTGAAGCCCGGGCAGCGGTGGTTATGCCACAGGATGTGGGCTGTGCTGGGAGTGAGGATGAGGTGGCAGCCAGGGGCCAGAGGGTTTGGTTCTTGGTCTCCGCCACACTCTGCTTGCGAAAGAGGAATCCAGAGCCCAAGCAAGCTATCCTAGGCCAGCTCAAACCAGCAGGCTCTCTTCTCTGGCTTTCTGCCCTCAGACACATCCCTGCTGACTTCAGAGCTAGCCATTATGTGGCTTCTGGCTTCGGTGACTAGCAGCCCTCTGTACACTGTCCACACTCGGCCTTGGACCTGTGACTGCAACTATTTGTTGGTCTCCACTGAAGTGCCACTTTTTCTCTCTAGTCATCAATGCTTATGTTAAAGTGACTCTTGGTGATTTTGCCCATCACCAACCACTAATAAGCAGGCTGGCCCAGGGGTGGCAGATTTTGTCCTGTGTATATTCAATTGTGTCCAGTCAAGGATAGTCATAGCTCAGCATGACAAAATCACTAACATTTGTTGTTTATTGAGCATTGACTTTACTCCAGAAGTTGTTATTATCCCTCTATAAATCGTCTCATTTAATCTTTACAGAGACTCCACACATAGATGTTGTCATCTTCCCTCTTTAGTGGGCTCAGATAGGTTAAGTCATATATCCATGTCATAGTGAAATGCAGGGCTAGAATTAGCAGCTAGGTCTTCTGTCTAACTCCAGGGTAGTTTTGTGGTTGTTTTGGTTTGTTTGTTGTTTTGTTTTGAGACAGTGTCTCACGACCTAGCTCTGGCTGTCCTGGAACTTACTATGTAGACCAGAAACTCACTATGTTTATCAGATTGTCCTCAAACTCGCAGAGATCCTCCTGCCTGTGCCTCTGCTGCTCAAGTGTTGAGATTAAAAGTGTGCACTGCTGTGCCCTGCTCTAACTCCAGCACTCTTGACACATCCCCACTATGACTGTGGCATAAGCAATGCTCCTCCTCCTACCATATGTCTCTGGAAAGATGGAGGGGTTGGAAATGGAACTGAAATTCAAAGTCAGTTTTATCTACCTGGGTTGAAGACAAAGTAATACAAGATGAAGGCAGATACTGTGTTGAGGAAAACAAGGAGGTGTCAGTGCAAAACACAGCTCTTGCTCCAAATAGAATAGCAGACACTTTATTCTGAAGCCAGCACAATGGCTTAACAGGTGAAGATGCTTACCACCAAGCCTGAAAACCTTAGTTTGATCCTCAGAACCTAAATGGTAAGAGAAAACCAACTTGCATAATGTCCTCTGACTGCTAATCCCACCTGAAGAGAATAAAACCACTACCACAGTTTTTGAGCCAAATCTGAAGCAAGCTTTAATTAAATACCAGTCATGTCCATAGATACTAGCCAGGTCCACACAGAGAATTCCCAGAGAATGGACCTTTATAAGTCAGGACTTATGAAGGTGAAACCCATAAGTCTACCTACTTCTTACTTTCATCTAATCAGGGAAAAGTATATATTCTGATGTACTTCCTCTTGCCTATGTGTGATGAAGCATACCCTGTACATTTTGGGCAACCAAGCTTGTTTACAGAAGCCAAAACACATGGCTTGTTATCTTACATAAACAGCAGCCCCCAGCATTCCAGGAAGTTATCTGTCCTTGGGTAAGTGGGACTTACAGGTTAGAGGCATTTTTTGATTTATAGATAGACCTCTTCAACATAGTAATTGAAACTTAAAACATAACATTAGCCATCACATTCTCCCCTTGAATTGTATTGTGAGTCAAATACTTGACTCTGTGGTGGGTACCTGTTCATATTAGGATCCAATAGCCATCAGCTTAATGGCACCCAGACAGGAATTTATGTATCTAGTTAAGGCATTAATGATTCAATGCTGTTAGTAACTAGCAAAATCAGAAGGGCCAAAGGTCCTTCTATGGCTGACATCAGAGTTACTCTCTAGGAGGAGCCCAAAAATGAGGATGGGAACCAGTCATTTATCTCATCTTGGCTTTTTTCTATAATTTGTTTTGAGTACAGCTAGATTATATCTAACGATTCCTAAGTGGTGTATAGAAACAATATTTTTTTCTTAAAACTATACAATAACCTCCTTATTTTACATAGAGCAAGTTGAGTGTCCTGCCATCTTTTAGAACTATTTCAGTTGATGAATCTGCCTGTTGATAGATCTTGGTCTATTTGGTTTTAGCAGGTACCTTTCCTGGTATGCCAATAGGCATTATAGGTAACCATTTTGTCCCTTTTACCACAGAGTTCTTTTGACCTAACATTCCAGCCTTTTGTTGAAGATAAGGAGTGATGTATTCGCTTTTGTAATTACTTGCTGCTGAAAAAAGGACATTTTTGTCAGGGAGTAGGAAGCCTGGAATGTTAGCCAAAGCCAGGAGGGGTTTCAGGCAACGGGGCATTCAGCTGAAGAGACAGGAAGCAATCACTTCACGTGGACTGGGTCACATCAACTGTCAGCAAGTCTGGGCTCAGCCATTGGGAGCAGGTAGTCCACAGCTGTTTCCTGGATGGTATCTGTTAGCCAAGTGTAAATCTGCTGGGACAGAAGTTTACCAATGTTTGTAATCTTCACTAAAATCCACATTGCAGAAAAAGCAGCTAACAGGTATTCGTAAAACAGATAGAATAGACGTGTCTTTGAGTCATAAAGAAAGCTATGCCTTTTGGTTTAAAAGCTTGAATATTCTTTTCTCTGTCCAGGGGAATAGGTATATAGATTGGACAAAGATGTTTTGTTTTTTTTTTTTTCCTGATGAGAAGTGCCTTTAAGTCTGTACTTGGAAGACAACCAAAGGATATTTAAAACCTTGAGCTTGTGACTGATAATAGCAGTCAATGCTTTACCAGCTTATCAGCACTCCACTGATCAATGTTAAAACTCTGAACTTTTGAAATCTTAGTATGACAATAGCCTAGCAAGCAGAAATGAAATCTGAAACATTTACTTTTATATACCTTAAATAACTTCCTCAGACCTTCAGAACTTATTGAAACCCTTTCTTTCTATGTAATCATTACCTGTGAGACACAGGTAGTTGATTACTGAGAGCACTCAATGCAAAGGAAGCTCTTTTAAATAAAGGAATATTAAAAAGTTACATCTGAAACCTATTATTCTTTAATATGAAACCTGTTAGCAAAGCAAACCTATCTGCCTTTTTTTTCCTCCCTGCATCTTTGATTAGGTTTTTATTCAAACAGACCTGTCTCTATTTGTTCTATGGAATGATTCAAATTTTAATAGTTTATGCAGCAGGCTTTTCTCTTCTGAAGTTAGTTTCTTCTCAGCTGCCGGCTCCTTGACTGGGGCAGCCTTCTTTCGTGCAGGCTTCTTCAGCTTCTTGAAGTCCACAGGCTTCTTTTCTTTCTTGCCCGCAACCCCCTTCTCTGCCACAGCCTTCTCAGACGTGGCTTCCAGTGCTGTTGCTGCTGCTGCTGCATCCAGTTTTTTCACTGGAGTTTGTGATTTCTAGCCTGGCGACGAACAGTATTCCTGCACATAGTCTTTGCGTAAGGGTTAAGCTTCAACATGATTCTCAGGTTCTTCAGTGGATTCTTCTTCAAGACTCTAGGCTGAATCTTCTTGCGTGGTGCTCGGAGAGCTCTTTGGATTTCTGTGCTTTTCGAGATCCTGCTAAGGTCTGTGTTCATCACCTTGTGCATGGGAAGGTTGTGGTTATTCTTGAGGGAAGCCACCACAACTTGTCTAACCTCTGGAAAGCGCTTTCAGTCCAAATGTAGGAACGTCCCACAATGCCCACCAGGAGCGAGTTTCAAAATGTTCAACGTGCTTACAGTAAGCAGAGAAGCAGAGGAATACCAGAGATGTTTCTGAAGGCCCTGATAATACCATTGTCTTCGTTATAGCTGAGGCAGGATCTCCTGCACTGGATGCGCCGTTGGTTTCTCGTTTTGCCCTTGCCAGCTCTCTTTCTCTGAGAGCTATAGACCTTTTTGATATCATTCCAAGCTTTAAGTTTCTTAAGCAGATGAACAGCCTCCTTAGTCTTCTTGTAACCTACAACCTTATCTTCAGCCACCAAAGGCAGCTCAGGAACTTCCTCAATTCAATGACCTTAGACATTACCAAAGCTGGTAAGGCTGAGGCAGCCAGAACAGATGGCTTATAGCTTTTGGGTTGTGTTCACTCTGCGGTGGCAACGATGCCAGGTTTTGGCTGACGAAAACATGCAGCTCCCATGACACGTATTTCCAAAGGCACCCTGGCCAGAACAGTGGGTCCCACCACCTCAAACTCTGGGAATTCAAGCCACAGCTCTGCCAGTACCCCAAGACTCAGCACTGGTCTGGCGACCTGCCAATTCACTGACAGCACGGGGCTGTCTGTTGTTTTTCCTCAAGTTGGTGTGAACAAAGTTCTCAATATCCGGCCGAATGGGGGCTTTGAACACAGCTGGCAATTTGACATTCTTGCCAGATGACTCCCCCTTTTCAGAGTACACCGATATGAGGGGATGGGCACAAGTCATGATGGGTACACCGATATGAGGGGATGGGCACAAGTCATGATGGGGAGAGGAGAAGCCCACCATCCTTTCAACCCGGCTGCTCCCACCCCTATCTGTCTTTTTCAGAAGACCTAGGAACTCTAGAAAAAGCAAGCTCTGATTTGTATAGACGA